AGGGAGCTCAAACAGAACTCATTACAGCACGGGGCATTCACCATGAAGGGGACACACGGAAACGCAACTCAGAAGTTCCACACTCTCTGGGGAGGTCCTGAATTCAGGAAGCACCAGCTTACAGAATCTATCTAAAGCCTATTACCATAGTATCAGAGAGTCTCACAGTCATTCAGGTATTTAGCCTCACAATCCCCCTGGGAGGTAGAGAAGTGCTATCATCCACATTGCACAGATGGGGAACTGAGGCACCGAGAAACTAAGGGACTTGCCCAAGATCACAGAGGAAGTCAGTGGAAGAGAGCGAATCCCTGCTCCCAAAGGCTCCCAAGTCCCGGGCTAGCATCCCAACCACCGGACCATCCTTCTGCAAAATGATGAGACACAATGGTTTAAACACGTTTCTGCCCCAACTGTTACATGGGAAAATCTGGTTCTGGCCTCTTGTTCCTTGTTCCTTGAGGCTGCCAAGAAAGAGAGGGGAAAAACTACAAATAAAAAAAGACCACCCACCCCAAATATTTACTGAGCACCATTATCAGCTTTTGACCACTTCTGAGCTATCCGCTAATTCCATTTTTATATTAACTCAAACGTGTCATTATTTCCCCATCATTAGAAGGTTCCTACAGTGAGGAAATGATGACAGTAGGAGCAGGGGCGGCTCTAGCTTTTTTGCCACCCCAAGCACGGCAGGCAGGCTGCTTCAGCGGCATGCCTGCAGGAGGTCCGCCAGTCCTGTGGCTTCGGCATACCCGCCACTGAATTGCCGCTGAATCCACAGGACCGGCAGACCTCCCGCCGAAGGCTGCCTGACTGCTGCCCTTGCAGGGACTGGCAGGGCGCCCCCGGTGGCTTGCCGTCCCAGGCATGCGCTTGGAGTGCTGGTGCCTGGAGCCGCCGCAGAGTAGGAGGTGCGTGCATAGTAGCAGTTGGAGCGTGAATGCAATACAATTCAGCTGTGTTTACTGGCAGGCGATATCTTTGTTCCGAATATGTGACTCACAAGTAAATGTTCTCTCTTGCCACAGACTCCTTGATGCCCATGATAGTCATCTAAACCCCTCTCTGTCTCTCCACCTCTCCTCCTATTTGTCCAACTGGCAGGACGCTTTGTGTAATTCACTCCTTAGACAAATGGGTCAGGGCTTTGGGGTGCGGGCTCCCCACAAGCGGCGACATGTCCCTCTGCTCCTAGGCAGAGGCACATCCAGGTGGCTCTGCATGCTGCCTCCGCTGCAGGTGCCGCCCTCGCAGCCAATGGGAGCAGCGGAGCCGGCACTCAAAGTGGGGCAAGGACAGCACACAGATCTCCCCGTGGCCGTCTCTCCGCCTAGGAGCCGAGGGGCACGTTGCCACTTCTGGGGAGTCGGGCGGAGCCAGGTAGGGAACCTGCCAGCCCCGCGACAACCGGACTTTTAATGGCTCGGTCAGCGTTCTGGTCAAAAACCAGACACCTGGCAACCCCAGGGCCAGACTTTTTCCCAGAATAGCTTAAGTATTCCTGGGGGAAGGCCAGCTGATGTGGCAGTTTCCCTAATCTGATTACAGCTCCTGCTCCCTTGCTGATCAGGGTAGATCTATGGATTGGGCTGTGTAATGGGATTGCCTGGCTGAACAATCAGGTCACGTCTGTCTCCCATTTCATCCTACAAAACAGCATGTCAGTACTCCAGATAGGGTGCCTCCATTGGGATGGATCTGTAAGGCAGCTTTACATAATATACTACCCATACTGGGTTAACTTAATGGTAACAGCAGCACAAACATATTGTGCCTCTCTAAGCTGATCAATCATACTCATTAATTTCAAGAGGCCACAGATGGTAAACTCATACCCTGAAATAGCTCCCCCCAGAGTCTCATTTCCGGTTGCTCATGAAAAATGATAGAAAATAAACTCCTCTCCCTTCAGATTCTTCTGCCCTTGAAGGGTTCCCAGCATGTGAAAGTGAAATCAGTTCCTCTGTGAGCGGAAGCCCTTTCCCCTCACCAAGCGCTCTCCATCATGCTGCAAATAACAGTTGCACATTTACACTGCTTTCAATTTATTCTTTCATTTGCAGAGGAGCAGTGCAAATGAAAATTGAGGTGCCAGTGGTATGGCAGAGACGTGGGGATGGGGAAGGTCCTTGGATTGTGCAAAATGCAAGGTACTCCATGTGCGGTGAATTACACAGGACAAAAGGACACTGTTTCTCTCACTGAAAGGATTTATTTAAATTTCCCTTCTCAGGGGAAAATATAACAGTATCCTAGAATAAAGGCCCATACCATTGCAGTAATACAATGGTAAATCCTATGCCTTCAGCTTCCAGCAGCTGAAGATAATGGGTACTCAGCACTTCCCAGAATCAAACCCTTAGATCATCTTTCTCCAGGCTATGCATCCACTATAGAGAAGATACTTGGAGCTTTGGGAGGGAGTGTAGGTTAGTGATTAGATCAGAGGACTGGAAATCAGGACTATTAGGTATAAGACCCAGGTCTTAGGGTATGTCTACACTGCAGAGTGTACCCAGCTGGTGGCTCATATGCACACAGAGCCGTGCTTGCCGACCCCGCCTCCAAGCAGTTGCACTGCAGAGTTGCACACAACTCATACCCATGTACCTGTGATTATACAGGCTAGGGTTACCATACGTCCTCTTTTTCCCGGACATGTCCGGCTTTTCGGCACTCAAACCCCCGTCCGGGGGGAATTGCCAAAAAGCCGAACATGTCCGGGAAAATGGCGGCTCTGCTCCTCCCCTGACTCTTCGGCTCTGTTTAAGATCCGAGCTGCCCGAGCACCGGCTTCGGGCAGCCCCCTTGCCTCCGGACCCCAGCCGCCTGCCGTGCACTTCCCCTCCCGGGCTCCGGCGGCGCAGGGTCCGGAGGCATGGGGGCTGCCTGAAGCCGGTAGCGCTTAAACAGAGTCGGGGAGGAGCAGAGCCGCCGCGGCTGGAGGCTCTGCTCCTCCCCAACTCTTTGGCTCTGTTTAAGAGCCGGGCTGCCCCAGCGCTACCGGCTTCACGGTTTGCTGGGCAGCCCCCAGACCCTGCGCCCCCGGCCGGCGCTTCCCCAGCGCAGCTGGAGCCCGGGAGGGGAAGTGCACGGCAGGCGGCTGGGGTCCGGAGGCAAGGGGGCTGCCCGAAGCCGGTGCTCGGGCAGCTCGGATCTTAAACAGAGCCGAAGAGTCAGGGGAGGAGCAGAGCCGCCGCGGCTGGAGGCTCTGCTCCTCCCCGACTCTTCGGCTCTGTTTAAGATCCGAGCTGCCCCAGCGCTACCGGCTTCACGGTTTGCTGGGCAGCCCCCAGACCCTGCGCCCCCGGCCGGGGTCCGGAGGCAAGGGGGCTG